GGTTTAAGAACTGGTAGTGCTGTTAGATGATTGTAATATGACAGGAGACTGAAGGATTACAGAACCATCTTTATCACATCAAGGAATTATTGCTTTTGTCAGAAAAGTATGTTTTCGGTTGATTTCTGGTGGACCAGCTCTGGTGTGTCTCTGTATGTAGGTCAACATCATAACTTGAGTATTTGTGGATGGATTTTTGTCAATTTTTGGCCTGTGGGTAGCTGTAGTGCAAGGTCAAAAATGGTCCACCTGGCTTTTCCCAATTGTACTGCAGTGGAGTTTTTGTGCATTTGTCGATTGTATGCATGCATGATGTATCTTAGGCCACACCAATTTAATTTCTTGGTTAACAGATTCGCCGCTTCATTTTTTTCAGTTTTGCAAATAAAAATAAAAATCCAGTATCAACTGCAAAATGCTCATATTTTGCCCTGAACAGTTGAAAACAGACCTTTCCATCCTAGTTGTTACAGTTGTTACATCTTTCAATGCAATGGTATCATTAAAAGTTCAAAATTCATTGTTTAAATTTTGAACCAGCCTGGTGTGTTGGCTTCATGGGCCATAATTCATACCATTTTGGGCCATAATAGGATACCTAGGCCTGTTTTTAGTTTTATTTTTTTTCTCCCGCCCGCTCCATTATTTTTCTGGAAAAATCCGTTAACCAAGAAATTAAATTGGTGTGGCCTTAATGATATCTAATAGGTGAGCAGCGGTTATAGAAACAAAGTTCAAGTTCGAATATGGTTATGCTATCATGTTCCTACGTTACTGCTGGGTTTTGTTTCATGTTTGTGTACAACATAACTCAAAACAATACGGATGGTTGTTAATGATATTTAGTGGTTAAGTAGGGACAGGAAAGACGCAGTTGATCAAATTCAATAATGGGCCTCCTGGTGGCTGCTTTAGGTATTGCAGTGGAGCTTCAAAGTTTGAGGTAAAATTTTCCGGAAGTGTTACAGTTGCAGGTTGATGATATTGAAGTAGTCAAAAGCTGTTGGGACTGGGACTATGACGTGTAATTTTTGGCCTCCTGGCAGCTTCTTTGGAACTGAAGTAGGCATTTTTGTTTCAGAATTTGATTGCAAATACATTGTAACTGCATGGGGCATGGTTTTTCCATTGTTTTTGGTAGGTAGGTGCCTCAGGTAAAGATAAACATAATGAGATGCATATCATGCAAATCAGGATCTAATTTACATAAAAAATGCGGTAAAAATATTCTCGGCATTTGGCGAAGGTACGCTGGGAGGGGGGCACCAGCAAGCATGTCGTTGACCTCTGACATTGATAACACGCTACCTTGCGTGTTTTCATCAAACAACAATAAATGTAGCTCAGGCGAATTGTGATCGGGCACGGTTTTAAAGGAACGTGTGGCACGTGGACCAGATGTGAGGAATGCAAGTTACCCGAATTGCAGTTCAGGCGGTTTTGTGTGAACAAGGCCAAAGACCAGTCTGACCATGACATGTGATCACTTGAAATTTGTTGAATCAGATGCTCCTTTGGGCATACTTCATGGCCATTGCCAATCCTAGAGAATCAGGACCCTTACCCATACAATCAAGTTCCATAAAATGAAACCCCACCCATTACAAGATTAAACTGTGGCAAGCACTCCCCAAAGCAATTTCTTGGTCCCAGAGATTAAACTTTAGCAGGCCCAATATCCACTATCCATGAGAAAGTCATTCATAACTTAATAGAAATCTGCAGCATAATTTGTATGGGTTACCTGTCATTTAGTTTCCATAGGAATTACATTCTCCAGACCAGCGCTGAAGGGATTATATTATGTAGCAACCTTGTTCTTTGGACATAAATGAAGACTGAGGGAAATCTTTGTTACATGTAATGGGGAAAAACATGGCTTAGAGCAATGCTTGTATCAAACTTCACACAATCATTTTCTCTACAATAATTTCGCACAGTAACTACAATGTATAATGACATGAGTCTATTTTGAGGGTTTCTCTTTGAAAGTCTGAAATTGAGCTTTTAGTCCAGATTTTAGGAACAGGTACAATGGTACACAGGTTTACAATCATCATGTAGGTACTGTCATCATCAGTCGGCTGCTGCGCAGGTGACTGCAAGATCCCTCCACTGCCCCTTGTCGCAAGCAAGGTTGGCGATCTGCTTCCCAGTTAGCTGATTGTACTTGTCTCCCAGCAGATGCTGGACGTACTGTACCAGGTCCTGTACCTGAACAATTCAACAAATTAACATGTTCTAAACTTCTTCTATAGCAGCAACAGTTCTTTAATAAGCTTGACAGTTAAGGGCAAGTTTTTTTATGGAGAATTCTAAGGCAAACCGTGCACAAAAATTTAGTTTTCGTCTGTTACCTTATGTGGTGGCCTCAATGTCACACAAACCTGATGAAAGTGACATCTAGAGGGAGGGTAGCTACATTGTACATGACATTGTGTAATACATGTATACTACATGTATGCAACCGATCTTCTTTCAGGATAGTTTGCCACTGCCAATTCTGTCTCGGGGTCCCAGGGGGGACCATAGGCCACAAATAAGCATGTATTGTACAATGTAAGTATTGTAACTTTATACGATAAGTCTGTACAGTACCAGCCCGAGGGTACTTACTACTTTAAAAGTGATTTAGGTATTTTGGACCTGTACCTAATCAGTTTTTGTGGTACTGTACCTGAGTACAGTACTACAAAGTCAAGTCGCGTGCGTAGTCCATTAGTTAGTGATCCTGCCTGTGGACTAAGAGGTTGGGAGTTCGAATCCCGGCTGTTGTCGCTCACCCGACATGCATGCTACGTCCTTAGGACGGGACGTTAAGCCGTGGTCCACTGTTCATTGCGCTTGTTGAAAAGAGCTAGGGGGAATTTCCCCGGTACAATGAACCTGTAAATACTGTACATAGCGTCTGTCTTCTCTGTAACGACCAGTGGAAGATTAGCTCTTCAGTGAGCTAAACTGGTTCGAGATCACTTTCACTTTCACAGAGTACCAGTACACAGCCCTCGTCTGAAAGGCAGGTTAATCAGACTGGACGGGACTGAGCTGAGATTGAGCTGTAGAAGCTCATCAGGCTCCATCACCCAGCCTGTCACTGCAAACCAGATTCTGACACAGGGCAGGGAGGTGACGTTATGAGTGCAAAAAGGTTCTCAACTCACCAGAGAATACAAAGTAGTAGCCTTTTGAGTGGAGAAATTTGCCTACAAGTGAGCATCGAACTGCATTTAGTGCATAATCATGGCTCTGAGGTGGATATATTTTCTACCTCATCTAATTTCAGACCAGTTTCTCAGAGATCTCAAACCAGTTTATCTCACAGAAGAGCTAAACCTGCCACTGGTCAGAGCAGAAAGGACAGACAATGTTTACAGACTGAGTACTGTGCTACAGGGTTCATTACAACAGGGACATTCCCATAGCTCTTTTTGACAAACACAATATTTATGATCATTGGATCATGGCCTCTACATATTTGCGGATTCCTTCTATCATCATACACTGGAACCCAAACCAGTCCTATAGTCTCTGTCTTCTTCTTTGCCAATATTTAAAAGGAGAGTGAACAAAAGAGACCTGATAGCTTACATTAATTATCTAACTACCTGATAAATTAGATTTGGATATATGGCTACTGTTGACATCATTTGAACTCATGTACAATCATGTAACTCTTTATTTCCAAACGAGTTCCACTATACCCCCGAACTTCTGCTGTGTATAGTCACAATAGAAACTGTCATGTCATTAGGGAGCGTATGTAGTCCAGCGGTTTGCAACCCTACCACGGGACCAAGAGGTTTAAGGGAGTTTGAATCCTGGCCGATATTGCTCACCCAACATGTACACTTAGTGGAAAGGGTTGCAGCCCTTAGGACAGGACATTATGCTGTCACCGGGTCCACTGTTCATTGTGCTTGTCAAAAAGAGCTAGGGGTAACCTGTATATACTAATGTACTGTACACAGCGTCTGTCTTCTCTGTCACGGCAAGTGGGAGATTAGCTCTAATCAGTTAGCTAAAACTGTATTGAGATCACTTTCCTTTCCTTTCATTACAAAGTTCAACTTTATGGTGGATGTGAAATTTAACTTCCGGTGCCTACTAGTAATAGCACATACATGTAGGGCAGCAAGTTTCCTGGCTGTTTCTTGTAGCAAGAAAGTTGAATTACCCGGGAGTTTATCTATAGCCAAATGATGAAAATTGTCAGTCATGATGTACAGTACTGGTGATGGAGAGGATATGATAAGCTTTCAACCATGACTTCCCTCTTGTGGTTAATGATGTAAAATGCTATAACCTAAGCTGCCATTTTGACAACTTAGCAAAATATGGGATTTCAGAGGATTTACTGATTTATTGGTAGATGAAAATCGTTGCAGTTTAAAGCCCTTGAAGGGATGTGCAAAACCTGCATTCCTTTAATCATGTTGGGCTTAGCGGCTAATACGGATGATGATGATGATGATGATGATGAGCAACAAGTACTGATGAAAATGGCCTGAACTTGGAGAGGAGGAACAAATTTGTCTAGCCCAGCGTTATTAAGTTTTTGATGTACCAGGTACATGTACTACCCGTAGTGCATGTACAAACCATCTTGTGATTCTGCACATGTCCATGGGTGTATATGTAGCTGCAGTGTTCTAACCAGCTAGAAATTATTTTCTGTCATCTCAATTATATATGACATAATACCATGTCGGGCACGGAAGGAAAATTTAGAAATCTTGACCCTCTGAAACACACTGCACTATGTTTTTTTTTCATTTTCCTGCTGACTCGACTTGATGTAGTCCAAAGTTTGGACAACAGCATGAATTTTTCATGGCCACGATCTGGTCCCCCCATGTACTTATGCAAAGTACGTGCACAGACTGCTTGTTATTCTGCGGCTTGCGTGCCCCATGATCCTCCTAGGGAGCTCTGTCATTACCTGCAAATCAACCATGCGCGGCACTTCTTCACCGCCGGCTTTGACTGGTTTTACCTCTCAGGTCACCGACCAAGCCAGAGCTGGTAGCAAAGAAGAAGAAGGCAGGTGAGGAGGAGGAGGAGGGAGAAACATCAGAGAGCTCACCGCTTAATGAGACATTCCACGATGGTAAGTCAGCTTGGAAGTCCCAGATTGGACAAATATAGGAGAGGCAATTTCTTAAATGTCTACATACTACACTCTGTTGACTAACGTCTGTTGCATCTATTTTCTGACTGATTCTTTGTAGAATTTTTCGTCTACGTTGTTGGTCTTGGCCCATACGGACAGTTACAGTTGGTCCTGGCACATACAGTTCACGCACAACTGGACCTGTTCTTTTGGTGATGGATAATTGACCATAAATTGTCCATCATACTCTGAGGCAGGCTCTAATGGAGCCGCTAGATCAATATTTCATGCTTCACATAACTATAGGGCAGTGAAACAGACCACTGCCTGTGCCTATCTCATCGGTGTGGAAAATTGTCCACTACGTGTCAGACACCTTTCATGCTTGAGATGTTTCAGGACAAGTTGAGCTGCTTCTCTGAACTTGTTAAAATTTATATTTGGAATTAAGGAACTGCTGCACTAAATTAATTTCAGCTGATTTTCTGCAAGACCATTTAGAATCTTCCAAAAATGTCTTAATGGATTATGGGGATTATGCATGCTGCTTTTAAGTATGCATTGTTAATCTTGAGGTAAAACTGTTTCAAACCAATGTATACATTATTAATAATGTTTTTTTGGGCATGTCAGTCAACACTTTGGTTCTTATGTAAGTGGGGCTTGGTGGTAACTTTGCAAGGTGTACATGTATGCTATTTTAGGTGATTTTTAATAATTTCAACTGAAGATGGTAGGCAGGAACAATGGGTATTTGCATTTCAAATTTTAGAAAAAAACTTTTTTTTTCATTCCAAAAATTTCAGTAGATGCCATATACTGTTACAGTAATATATAATCTTGCCTCTAGATGACCATTATGCCAAAAGATTTACCAAAATTTATGATGTTGGTCGGGTGTTCAGGTATTGAGGCTCGTCATTTGTAAGATTGTATGTAATATTGTATTTTTCAAATTGAGCCATTTGGTGTGAAAAAAGAACTTGTTTTTTTATTATTTGTTCACCCCCAACTAATACGGTTGACCGTTGATGATGATGTAATTTATTAGTTCTTATAATTTTGACCAACATCATGCCCTCTTTACAAATTCATAGAATTATAATAGAAAATTAAGAACAATTTATTGATAATTCAATAAATTTCAGTTGGAATTTTGTATCATTGTGAGTTGAGCTGAAGATTTACATGTGCATGTGTGGTGGAAACTCCTTTTCATGTATCACAGTACCATGTTGGCTGTCCAGAGCCTGTATGCTTATCAGTCTCACACAGCTTGGGAGAGTGTTAACCTGCTATTTCAATCACAGCGGTGCTAAATGAGAAACATTTTCCTGGCTGTGCAACTTATCTGATGAATACATTTTACAACGTGTGCATCCTGCACGTCGCAACCCTTCGGGTGTACATTGTAGGCCTTCTCTTCATTCCAATCATGGATGCGTAGCCTGTATTAGCAGCAGTAGTGGGTTAGCCGAGGGAATTCTGAAATTACCTCCTGTAGGATCATGTGCCACTTTAGTCTGACATTCACAATGGCAAAATGACAGCCAGTAGAAAGTGGCCATAAATTGAGACGAAATGTTGCCAGGAGGAGACACAGGTCATTGTCCTTGTCGTGTAGCATGTTTGTAATGAAAATATGAAATGATTATCAAGAAAATGAAATTATACTGTTTTTGTTTCTACTGTACTTACAAATGTTATGTGTACTTAGTCTAGTACATTGCCAGACATCTGTGACAAGTCATGTAAAATGTTTTAAAAGAAAATGCAGTTAATGGAAGAGACAAAAGGCCAGCATTATGTGTAATTATGATTGTATACATGACGTATATTTGGTCTGATTCATTCAGAGTGGAGGAGGTTACAAAACATTTTCATTTCATGTATTGGGGATGCAACAGTACATGACAAGTGGTAGCCAGGCAGTAGCAAGGAAGGTATGTAGCGGCTACCAATGATACATGCAGCGTAATACGTAAATACTAAGATACAAATCATCAAAATATATACAAGACCTACGACAAAATATCAATAATTATACAAAAGTAATAGCAGTACATTACACAATAACAAAAAAGCATCATCATCACCAATACAATTTTCAAACTTCTTGGTGTACAAATTTCAGATGACCTTACATGGGATGCCCATGCTCAGTATATCATATACATTTGTACATGTACACTAGTATATTATGTTATCTTAAAGACCCGACCCAAAATCTACTATCTCGCCAGGAAAGCTGGACTTTCCTCAGATGTACTCACCCAGATCTACCTGTGAGTGTCTTTTTAGCATCTGCCTGATCTTGGAGTACGCTAACCCCATATGGGGAGGTCTGCCCAATCGACTTTCAAACATTTTCGAAGGAGTGCAAAATTATGAACTCCTTGCCGACCCTGGCGTCCAGACATCAACAAGCTACACGACGTGTCCTCCTGAGTATCCTGGAAGATACGGACAACACCATGAACTGCTCTGTATCCCGTCCATCACAAAGTGGCTTGCTACGACCTCCAGCGAGTCAGACATGCCATGACTTCACAAAGCCGGACTAAGAGACACAAACTGTCATTCTTTCCTAGAGCGGTGAAGTTGTAATTATATGATAAAAACTGAACTCTGTTGATCACGACTCTTTCGTATTTTGTCAACTTGGTTTTAATAGATATATGTTATGCTTTTAATCATATTCTTAATATTGAGAGCTCTTCATTCGCTCTTTTAATGCATTTTATATTATATTTGTGGCGAGCTGCAGCACCTGTGGCAAGGTGACCTGCGTGGTACTGCACTCGTTTCAGGGTTTTAGGCATGTTGGTGGGGGAATAGAAGTCTAGAGTATTCCAGCTTAGTGTGAATAAGCATGAAATAAGCCAGTTCCAGCGCTTCTTGGGAGAGCTTGCCTCAGAGTTTCCACAGGAGTCCCCGTGTTCTCCTGGCCTTGTTGGAGGTGAGCTGAATGTGCTCTGTCCAATGTAGGGTCTGGTGCACGGTAATGACCAGATGAGTGTTAAAAGGTACCTGTTCAACGATCTGGCCGGAGATGTAAATAGGGGGAGCTGCACTTTTCTTTGTGGTGACTTAATAGAAAATAACCTTGCATTTGTCAGGGTGCAGCTGAAGCCCAATCGTTGAACCAAGTTGAATCAAGGTCCTGACTTGAAATTTGACGTATCGTTGAATGCAGTTGATGTTGGATGTACATGTACATGGGAGGTTTTGGATGTCGTTTATAAAGGTCAGAAACAAGAGTGGGCCTAATATGCTTCCTTGAGGAACATCAGCTTGTGTAACCCCAGGTTGATGCTACACCATGTATCACAACTCAGATAGTTTGCAAACCACCTGTTGAGTGTGCCTACCTCCGTAACGTGACACTGTCTGGCATGACGGACTCGTTTATAAAACATTTTGTTAAGAACATTTAATTTGATATTTCATATCCTAAGCTAGAAACATTATTTGCCATGTACCATACTACAATTGTTATTTTAATTGTGACAAATATTGGGTTGTTATACCAAGGACCTTATTGCCTACATATCACAGAAAATTAAAATGATTACATAACAATATATTTACTTCTGATAGAAGATTTCCACTTTTTTAAGCTTTGAAAGAACTCCAGCCCATTGGGACATCGACACCGATCAAGTCACTACAGCTCAATGCCAACTCCTTGACCACGACGCACAAGGACTCGTCGCCCTCCCCTGTTGCATACAGTCCTTGTGTGAGTGAACCTACTACACCAGAGGAAACGAGCAAAAACCAAAACCTGCTGGCCAAAGAGAGTTTGCCTAATGGCCACCATAGTAGCAACTGTGGTGGCACGGTCACCGGGGTCCTCGGTCTGGGCCAACCAGCAAGGGGTAAGTTACAAGTACCTCATCACTTACCAAGCAGTTCTCGTGTGGATGCATGAATGCATTTTTTATTGTATCGTGCAAGAAAAGAATTGCCAGCCTACATGAAGCTGATATGACATCAAACTTTGAAGTTATACATAAATAATGCAAGCATTGGATTATATGTTGTCTTTTTCATACAGTTGTGAATGTTTGCTAGGTTTTGCTGTTTTTTGGGTTTTGTAAAATGTACCCTACACCGTATGGTAGATACAGGTTACTATATACCTGGTATACAAATTTGAAAAAAATAGTTTCTTAGAAAAATTTTGACATATACATGTACATGTACAGTGTAGTTACCGGTTACAATACAGTTTTAACTGACAGCCATTACATTGTATACATACCAACTCCAGGACTGGTCTTGTACTTAAATTTCTAGTATCTACAAACATGCATGCATGCAGATCATGTTGCAACTTTTACCTGTTTTAACTCTTTAGAAAGAGTTTTTAACTGGTGAGTGTGAATGAGTTTTAAACTACATTCACATGAGCATGAAAAGTATATTTTATCATTTTGTCAAACCTGACATTGCCAGTATGCCATAGCATTAGTTTGGTAGCATGATAGCCAAGCAGCTAGGATATTTATATTATGAAATTTATTAAGAAATTTATGTTGGAAATACTTCCAACGGGGGATGCCCTAACTTCGCACATGCCGTAACTTCGAACGGAATTTTTTACTGATCTTATTAATATGCATAATTATTAAGTATAATACCATGTTTGTTGCCACTGGCTTTGCGAATTAAGGTTAGTAAACATAGTCAATGCACACAGCTGTTATTTGCATACAAAGTATAGTTCTGTATAGTTATTTATCTGTTTTTTTATTGAGAAACAGAAGTTCCCCCAATAATGATGGTGCTGAAAAGAGGGTCACTTGGTAGCGGCGGATCGTGCCCAGAAAAATGGACCTTTGCCGAGCAGTCACACAACTGCTACATAGTTACATACATGTAGAACATAAAGCTTTACAAATCAGTAGAAATTTCAGTCCCTGAGTGTTTGTTTTGTAGAAAACCGACCCAAGAAAAACAACATCAAAACCACTGTCGTCTGCATTTCCCATGATTCCCATGGGACCACATTGACAGGTTTTCAGTCCAAACACTGACTGATTGCGTTCCATACAACCCTACTCACGTGTCTGAGATGAGAAGTACTCACAATCACAATTTTACCATCAAAAGAAAGCAAATATCATAAAATTCAGTTCTTATTTCAATCTGTTTACTATATAAATTCATCACCAAGTTCTGAAGACAGCAAAACTACAAAAGCATGTGACGTTAGGGCACACTGTCTAGCGCCGGCCATTCACGAACTAAGGTACATTTATGAAAACGTCTCACAGCGTTTGCCACTTGTAACGCGAAGGGTGAACAGTATGGGTGCATTTCTTATTCAAGTATGTTCTCTTCACATGTTTTCAAAATCCATTTCATCCAAACCTGACCATTCTCTGACAACTAGCGCTGTGAGTTCAAGGCATGAAAAAGCCTTAAAGTTTGATGTTAGGGCACTCCCTGTTAATAATGTTGGTAAATGTCAAATGTCAAAGAGCTCAATATGACTTTCTCAATGGTTGTTTGTTTTGCTAAATTTTTTCATTAATAACATACACATTATAACAACAGTAGTGTTTGTAAATTAGATTAGTCTCCTGATGATAACACCATAACATGCTTCACGGTGCAGAAACTAAGCAATTTTCCCCTGCACAGATGTTAGTCAGTTTTGAGTCATTAGTTTGAAAAATCAAAAAGGACACTTTGTTTTCAATAACAACCGAATATCTCATTGATTTATCATCATTTGGTCTACTGATGCACTCGAAATTAAATGTCTCGCCAAATGCTGTTTGTCATTTGCTACAAAAATCAATTAATTGGACAGAATTTGAAAGATCATGATACATGTAGCAGCCCTTTCTAACTGTAACAATTTAAAAGTCTAAACACTGCATGGCAGCAACAAGTTAGGATTTTACTTATTAATAAGAATTATTTCAAAGCACCTCATTTTGTGGAAGTTTTATCTAGAGACTCTGAGATAGTCTCCAGAATTGAAGGTGTCTATAAAATGTTTTGCTTGCACTTCAGTTTTTTGCCTGCAAAGGGCAGCTTGCAGATGGGTATTTCATGCCCTGCCTGAGATACCTAGAATTATTATTCCAGACGTGTCAGCTCTGCCTTTGACATTTCGGAAAGATCAAGGCGTAATAATTACAACCTTCACTTGACTGCCTTTTGAACCACAGGAACAGCTGGATGCACAGCTATTACTGAGGCTTGGCTGCTATGTTTAGCCTTAGGACCTTGGTTAACCCATTCAACTGAGCAGAAAACCTCACTTCTAAACCTGGGAAATGTGTACTGGAGATGACTAGAGGTGATCATATCCTGTGGCTGTGTAATACAAAAGAATTCCTTCTTCGAAGTGGGGTGGAGAAAAGTTGTGTAGCTTGTAGCACTTTATGTATCATGAAAACTGGCACCTGCCTCAAGTTGGTGTGTTATTTAAAAAAAACTTGATTTTTCTATGTACTGTTTCCAGCAACAGAAGCGACAGAATGTGCGTTATCCAGCGGCAAGTCCCAAGGACCTGAAGACCTACAGCCAGCATGCGCGCTGCGGCCATCGGCGGCTGCAGCCGTCTGGAAAGCCGTGCTGTCGGCTGTGGTGTTCTTCACACTACTGCTGGCAGCACTGCTCCTGCTCGTCCTTGAAGCGCCTTTCCATCACTCGGCAATCTCCCAGATCCGTGCGACCCCCGAGTTCCACCAATTCAATGCCGAATATTACCAGCCTTTCAAAGACTGGTTTGGCAGTGTCTTCTACTTGTAAGTCTGCGCCTGCATCCTGTCGTAGTGTTTCGTCTTTCAGCGTGTCTGACGACAACCCCTGGCTGTGTCCCACCTGTAACAAACCTCTCCCGCCCTCCGTGTTATACCAGCGGCAAGCGCCATGCCAACAGGAGACGCAGAGCAGAAAGGCAAGGATCAGCAGGGTACAGTCTGACCCTGGCGTGGCGCTGAAGCACCACGCTTCTTCCTCCACTCCCGACGTCATCAAGAAGTTTGTGTCACGATCCATCAGGAGGTCCAAGTCCATGTGTGTACAGAAGAACGGCCGGGACGTTGAGGAACCCACCATGGAAGTGGTCAGTAGACTGAGCAAGGAAATCCTCAGAATTCACCTGTCTATCTTGGTACCCCACACAAAATCACCCCCACCAAAACCCAAGGCTTTTACAGTGACTGAGGTTTGAGCATCAGGAATGCACTAAGGGAGATGCTTGATGGAACAAGGATCAGTTCAAATTGCCCTTAAGAACTTTGGAATGCACTGTGGTAGACCATTTAAGCATATGGCTCTTTAGAGCATTGACTTCAATAAACCACACAGTCATCAGGCATACCTGCTATATCAGCTGTGTTAGCAATAGGGCAGCACTGCCCCATCCTGAAACTCATTACAGCGATACAAAAGGATTCAACAAAGATACAATCAGCCAGTGTAAAAAGCCTAAAAGGACATCAATCAACGCTGCCACTACAGCTCCAGGTTTGTCCAGAATATGGAAAATTGCCATAACTATTACCACATCACCATCTCAAGAATCATTACTGCACAATGACAAGTTTTGAAAATTACAGTGTACATTTTTAAACTATATATTATTGGAAACAAACTAGATCTACAAGTTTCACATCTCTAACAATTCACATTCAAGTTGATGTCATTGAAGGCACAGAGGATCTCATGTGAACGTTATGGAGGACGGCAAAATGTGGCTGTCTGAGAATAGTTTTCAACGAGCTTGATGGACTAAGAGTGAAGGAGTTGTTGAAAGTCAGACTCTCCACTTTCCAGATATTAAAGTAGTTTTTAGGACTGAGAACCCTCCTGAAAAAATGAACCAGGGTCAGGGGAGTCAAATCAGGGGAGGACTGAAATAAAAAACTTGAAGTGCAGGAAAAGAGACAAGTATGCTCCTAACAAGAAACTGATTTTGGAATTCAATATCAGAAGAAAGGCGTATGCACCTACCATTTTTTAAAGCTCAAGACCTCGATTACTGACTCAGAGGATGATTCAGCAAATTGCATCTGCTTTCAATTTGTACCTTGTACTCAGAATCTTGACATTTTTAGAATGCTGGATGTACGCACCTTGCACAGGTGTATTGTGTATTGTGTAGGGACGGAGTTACTCAACCAGTATAATACATGTACATTCAGCTTTGGATGCAGAAGGCCAATGTATAAAACAGATACCTGTACTTGTTCTTGTACACCATGATTCTGGTACATGTATGATGGTGGGATGAGGAAGAGGCAACTTGACAGTGTCTTCTTCAAGACAGCTAGCTACATGTACATTGTCCTTGACATTCAGACTCCTACAAGGTAGGCTCTTTTTATGGGTAATACATGTAGGCTGCTCATTTACGGCAACTGAAAATGGCTATGCAAGTGCTTTTCAAGGGCTGCAGAAAGGACGGGCAGTCAAACTTTGGGACAGGTTCAGAAAATCTAAGTGGTATGGACATGTTTTGCATCTCACACCGAAGTCCAACTCAGTTGCTAATGCCTAATTATACAGTCATGTAACTTACAATAATGTCCCTACCATGTACATGTTACAAGTTACTTATCTAATAGACTAGTACACATTTAACCAAAGAAATGTAAGAAACAGCCATCTGAAGGTTTTGTGAAACAATTTGTGCAGGCTCCCAGTTTTAAGTAAAATGTGATGAACTTCTGAGTTTTACAATTAAGTATTGTCAACAAAAAAAATGAAAATGACGCAAAATACAAAATGCACCATAATGACAGTAATATGCATATTGGAATAGTGTATCACTCTCATCAATGGGATTACATGTTACAAAGATGTACATGATAACATGTTATGATACACCACTGGTGATCTTTAAGTATGATATGCATCCTGTAAATAGGTATTCTATCTAAGATCTTAAGAGTCTTCAAGGGTATTTCTCTTCCTAAGAAGTTGTTGAAATCTTTATGAAAGTAATATCCACATTCCCTGGAGTGTTGACAGTTGAGCAAGACTTGAACTCTGTTTCCAAACATCTTTTTCTTCAAGAGATCATACATTCCTGTGCCATTTATTAATTTAAAATTCAATCATATGACATGTTTTATTAATGATTGTCACAGCTTTTTATGTTTCTGATTTGTATATTTATGACCTGTTGTTTGGTTTGATGCAGTTATGTTGATGTCAAAGTGATTGTTCTTGTCTTTTCTGTTACAAATAAGGTTGTTTCTTAACATGGTGTGTTAATGATATTGATATCATCAAAAGTCATCTCAATGCGTTATGTAGAAATTCAACATTAAGTTACCAGTTTACATTGGCCTGGAGATCTGTAAACTTTGGTTTTTACAATACTCAATTTGCTATATTGCATGTACTTGATTTTGATTTTACATGATATCTTAAATCTTACCAGTCACATGTTAACTAGTGTGTGATGTTATCAAAAGAAAGGGGAGTGATTTTGATTTATACTGTTGTGTATTTTTGACAAATTACAATAACTGCAAATAACATTGTTTTGCAGTAAGCAGATATTGGAAAGAGTGTCTAGTAGCACAACATTATCCTTAGTCTACATTTTCATTAACATGTCTGTCATATAGTTGAGTAGCATCATTTAAATTGTTTAAGCTTTATGTTGTAGTATCATCAACTTTAAGATGTAGCTTCCAATACTGACATTCCAAAAGACACATTCCTGTCCTACAAGTTTCAGATGTTTCAAAGTGTAAAGTATTTATTGCTGACCCTAACAATGTTTCAAAGTAATATATAAAGTTCACTGGAAGACACTTGTAAAGCACTTCCAAGATGTGTATGCACTAATTTAAAATATGTGTTGCCTTTCAAATCAAATGTTTTTATGTGACTTTGTGAAAGCTTTGCCTTGTTTTTGTTACAATGTCATGTATTTTGTTGCTGTAAGTGTCAGAAATAGCTGAGTTGAAAAGGCAATGTCTTCAAGACATTGTACATGCTACTTAATAATAATATACATTTTGTAATTAATACATCACCAATATTTTGGAGATTTCTAAATTAACATGGACTCATTGACAAGTTACTATAAATTGTGCCATACATACATTTACTCTTCCTTTTAAAAGCAGAATTGTGTATTACTAATCCCTTACCACAACATCCATTATAATAAATAATGAGTACAGTAGTATGACGCATTATTTTCCAATTTTGTGGTGGTTCTGTCACATCATCACCTCTACATTATGTTCCCATTTTAAAAATTGTATGTCAGACATATTTGACGTGTACAGTGTATATTCATGCTCTGTAATGAAAAATGACTTCAAGACAATCTGAAAGGCAAAAGATTTGGTATTACAGTAACTAAGGCCACACCAATTTAATTTCTTGGTTAACGGATTTGCCCGTTTCATTTTTTTCTGATTTGCAAATAAAAATAAAAATTCACAATCAACTGCAAAATGCTCATATTTTGCCCTGAACAGTTAAAAACAGTCCTTTTCATCCTAGTTGTTACAGTTATTTCATCTTTCAATGCAATGGTATCATTAAAAATAAAAGTTCAAACTTCATTGTTTAGATTTTGAACCAGCCTGGTGTGTTGACTTCATGGCTCCTATGGTACCATTTTGGGCCTAGGCCAGTTTTTATTTTTTTATTTTTTCGCCCGCCCGCTCCATTATTTTTCTAGAAAAATCCGTTAACCAAGAAATTAAATTGGAGTGGCCTAAGAACATGTTCAACTTGTAAGACCTGATTCACTTATTGAAATGTACACTCATTGTTTTGATGCAGAAGCTAAGATTATACATAAAAAGTACAGGACAACTTGGACTTTTATGACAAATAACTGACCACAACCTATGTTTAGTTTGTTTTCCATGAACTAGTCACTTGGTTGTGCTAAGGAGAAACATTATTTTCTGGAGTACTTCTTTTGTGCAATATTTACAATCATGTAACTTTGTATTCCAAACTACTGTCTTGTTCACAGCACTTTCATTATGTATGTATCTATGATGACATTTTGTATAAAGTATATATGAACATTATAGTACATGCCTGTTTTAAGTTTGTTTTGTCGTTAATGTGTGTGCTGTGTATAAGCAGGATAAAATTCTTCATGTATTTGACATGATGAATGTCAGATGAATGTATGGGTCATTACAGGTGGTGGAATGGTTGCAATCAGGGCACAATTGTAATCAGAAGGGAACCATCGCTCAGCCCTGTAAGGGTGCCCCTGGGACCATTCAGCAGCCAGAATGGGTCAGGTTTCTTTGTGCAGTCCATCAAAATGACAACACCGGAGTCAAATGCCAGCATGATTTATGTTCTTAAGGCCAAACTGATTTTGTTTCTAGTGAGAGAGAGAGATGACTCATATACGTAATGTAACCGGATAAAAATAGTTTTTTAAACTCGACTTCTTGACTACAGAACTGTTATCCATGTCTAAATTAGTATGCCATGCAACTCAAAGGTACTTTGTAGATATAGCAATTAGCCATTCTATATTAATATTTGTTCAGGAGTTTGACACAATTCGACAAGTAGAGATTTTTACACCACAGCTGTTAAATTTTCAAGTGTTACATGACATTATTTTGTATTATGCTATGGTCCCTAACATTTTGAATACACCATTATAAAAAGTGTACACTGATCTAATGATAAATTCGTCATTACAAAATGTTTCGACAAAGTTTTGGCAAGATTCTTTTGAAAATTATTGCACAACAGTTGAATCATACATTACGTACAACCATATATTTTTGACAACTTTGATCCCCCAAAACATCATCCTATGTCAAGTTTCAATTAACAGATTTTCAGTGTCATATTTTGTATGAAATTCATTTTTTAGAGGAATGGGAATTTCTGACTTGATTGACTATCACTATCAGTCCTTACTGAGAACTGTGGTGAATAGAGCTGTCTCCACCCCGCAACCAGTCGCGATACCTGGAGGAAGGAAGTACATGTAGCATGATGAAAAACAGATCAGTTTAGATTATCTCCAAGCAGATGTCTGGTGGCAAAAGTGTTACGGTTAGAATTGGCCAGCTAGAGAGAGTCCTCAGTCGGCCAGACTCGGGTGGCAAATGGATACTGCCTGGCCAATTTGATACTGTCTTTATTTGCAGCCACCAAAACATCAGTGTGTGTGTGTGTGCTTGGAGATTAGTATAGTTTAGATGCATTACATATTAAGCTCAATGTGAAATCACTTGGAACGATTGAATAGAACCTACAAATCTTTGAGTCCTTTCAAAATAGAATAGCAGGATATAGATCTCATTCAACTTTTGCCCAATCCGTCATCGTTGATGGAGAAAAATGAGCGTGTAAAGATATGTAAATACATGTCATTAAACTTTAGTAAGTTTGGATGCATACATGATACATAGCTCAATACGGAAAATTTTTCCGCCAAATTGGGGTTAGACTTAAAATCATTACTTGATTAGAAACTACAAGTCTTCAAGCCCTCTCAGAATAGCAGGATAGACAAATTTAATTAGATTGGATGATGAGAAAAGACTGGTGTTAAATTCAAAGTCACGCTGATCCTAGGATTGACAATTTCCCTGAGCGATGAATCGTCAAATTGAAGAGATAAAGACTGACTAATTACCTATGGTACTGAAGAGTGCTGTTATGTTGATACACAACTCTCTGTCCTCGTCTGGAAACTGGGAGTCTTTCAGCAGGAGGTAGAATATGTTCACGTAGGAGGCACCTGGAAAAATCCATTGAAATTCCTATAACCTCAGGATGTAACATTACTCACAAGTACTTGCTTTTAAGTACTGCTGAAAATTTTACACACCATCAGAACTGATGACTTTGTGATAAATATAAACTACTAACTAAAGCACACCATATATAACCTGGTTGCCATCCTGTTTGCTATGGGGCTCCCTGTACTTGCTGACCTGAGAAACATCTTCGAGCCCGCAAGTGCAAGGTCAGTAGCAAATGGCACCCAGGCTGTAGCAAATATTCTGTACAAGTGAAAAGAGCCAAAAGCTATTTGCATGACATCCATGTACACTAATGTCAATGACATGATTGTTTGAACTCATATCAACAAGTATATTACAGTATACATGTATTTGATTTTCTTCTGTGTTTTTTTATAGAACTGATACATTAATGTTAGGGTAGAGACTCTGATCAGTAGAAATCCCAATCAGAGTCTCTATCAGGAGAAAGTCCCATCAGGATCTCTGCCCATAGAATCGATGATTCCTGCCTGCAGAATCGCAGATTCTACCAGTCTGAGATTGGAGTCTCTACCCTGACAGATATACATGGTACATGATTGTACATGACATGTATGTTATGTGTAAAGACAGATCTTACCTCCCATAAGTCCCACAAATATCATGTATGCTGGGAGAATCCAGACTGGCAGGAATTTGTACTGAAGAAAAGAAGTCATGGAATGATTGATTTTCAGAAGTAGATTCATAACAAAGAGCTTGAAAGTTATTGTGGTTTCTTTTTACACAACACACGGTATAGACTCTCACGTTTCAATGTCTATCAGACACTTTTCTCAGAGCTTCTGACTGGAGTACTGCTTTTCATTGCTACATGTACAGTCATGTATATGCAGCTGATGTAGGTGGCGCATTTGCAGCAAGAACAAAATCCCAAACGTGGCTAAGTTTGTGTCCCTCTTGTCCCAGTAGCTGTTCTTCACTGCATGGGGTAACCACATTGGCTACATATATTATTAAACTGCGAGAAGCAGTACTCTAGTCAGAAGCTCTGAGGACATATAGACATCAAAATGTACAATGTAAGCATGCATTTGTGTCTATTATACCAGTTGTGTGAAAAGAACCCTAATACACCCTATGCTTTAACAATCAGATGAAACTACTTTCAGGAGGCATATATATTAGAGGTCTGCTGTAGAAGAAATTGAATTTGCTTGGTCATTAGTGATATAAAAGGAAACTGAGAGGATGTGATTATTTCTGATTCACACAGCTCAGGGCCTGTGAACGCCCGCTTGCTGTAAGGCCCCTGGTGCTGATGGGTAAAATTACAGAGATGGGCCTTCAAACCAAATGAGGTTTGTGGCTGGTTAGGGTGTGATAACAGAAAATTGCAGTCTTTTACTGCTGCATTGGCCTGCACACTCCTCATTTAGCTTTTCTGAGTCAATTCCAGCTTTGGACCCATATGTTTTCTATCTGCTTCAAAAATAAGCTCCTTAAAAGCACATTTTATGTTATGTATAATTGATTCATTGGTAGAGCAAAAGTAATTTGTCAGCAAAGATTTGAAAAGCAATTCTTTCTGTAAATGTGGTATGAAAATTGGAGAGTAAGTCCACTATATGTGACCAGAATAAAGATGGAGTAGGCATCTTGATTTTTTAATATAATTTTATGTTGTCGGCCCAAAATTGTCTTGTACATGTCTTTGTCTTTAGGGTTTACTGTAGGTTCTCAACTTGCTGATGCATCTGCTACACTGATGATGTGAAGTGAATCACCAACTCTGGACTGTAGAAGTTTGGACCATTGCACATGGGGGCATGCCTGTATTTTCTTAATTGCGTGGTGGGTTCTTTATCATGCATGGGGCGTGACTCTAGTCAAACCTACATTGGACCTCCATTTAAAGCCAAGGGACGTCCCTAATTATTATTAACCAAACTACGTACTCATATCCACCTGAGTGAAGTGAGGAAAGTCATGTAAAGTGCCTTTTCCAAAGACACAACCTCGGGGTATGTCAGGAGATCGAACCCGGGTTCGATTCCGGGTCCCCGAACAAGTCCGAACATGCGCTCCGTCGTTGTACCCTTGGGAAAGGTACTTTACACGACTTTCCTCACTTCGCTCAGGTGAAAATGAGTACCTAGCTTTGGTTAGGGGTGTCTTATCAGATGGGACGTTAAAATGGAGGTCCCGTGTTTGAGGAGAGACACACCTCAAGCACGTTAAAGAACCCACGTGAGTGGAAGTGGAACAAACCATTATGGTCTAAAATGGGGTAGGGAATTTTCCCGACCAGCCTCGTAACCCCTGCTTCTCCTATTGGGTCAGTTAGTCCTCACTAGTTGTGAGAAATTGGACTAGTCTCAATCTTGATGTTTCTAACCAACCTTGAAGTGGCCTAATGGCCATGGTGACTACTAAGTTAAAAAAAAAACGGAACCACTTCTTGATTCCGAGCCGAACACTTTGACCATTACGTCACGCAATGCCACACATGAAATGAAGACCTACACATGTACTAGTAACTCACATGGACATCCACCACCCACACCACCATGTTGATTCCCTGAAGCAAGGTCAGAATCTCCACTCTTCTGATCTGAACAATCTGTAGAGATGACCGGGAGGCAAACACACCTGCCTGCAAGAAGAAATGAGATCTCAGACCTCCATGAAATATCCTGTGTGATGGTGACTGTGTTCTCTTCTCATTCTCCATGGTGTCTACAAGATCTTTTTATTGTACTACAAGATCTCTTTATCCTGAACTCAGGGAAACAATGCCAGCTGTCAAGAAGGTCATGTATATATGTAGAAAAACACCTGTGAAACAGCAAGTGCTACCAGATGTGATTAATGACTTTCTCCCTTTGGGACTGAACCATATCCACTTCAACCTGACCTACGAGCCATGTGGAAACACAGGTGCGCACACGCACACACACACACTCACTCACTTACTCACACACACACTCACTCACACACACACACACAAATACAGACATACCAAAAGCAATACCTCCCATTTTCATGAAGGGAATAAAAATTCAAAGAATCTATGCCAGGGCTCAAGACAATGAAGACAATCCCCCATCAGTGTTCAAGCCAGCATCAGTCTGTCCGTCACTTGATGGAATCTTGCTGCGCATGAAGGACAAAAATTAATCTTTTGTCATCTTTGACGGACAGAAAGATCCAGCATGTAAAGATACCCAAAGAGATGTCATTAAATTAAGCTTTGTGTACCAGCAGAATACTTTCCCCTAAAAGTGCAGGAAATAGTATTTCAGAGGGTCAAGATTGCAACATTTTGCAACAGTTACATCAAACAAAATTGAGATGACAAAAAGAAATTTCAGGCTGGTTCAAACACTGATCTGATTAATCCATTTTGGGCACAGCTGGGTTATTATGCCATATTGCAGTCATCCATTAACAGCCAATGACATCCTCATGGCTTCACCTTAACCATAGTGAGCTGAGTGAAATTTTAAATCATTAGTAGCGATCGTCTTCATGCTTACTCATCATGAAATGTTAACATTAAATTCATGTTCGGAAGAACCCCCCCCCCCCCACAAGGCTCAAAGGTCCTGACTTTTTGGTCCACTTTTTATCTAAAGGTCCAAGATTTCTCTTTAGATTGACTGATTTGTGTGATCAGCGGGCCTGGACTCGTATAAAAACGGGTAACTGTAAAAACTGCCTACTTTGTGATTGAATAAGTTATCTCTGATCTTTTTCTCTGAAATCCTCTCAAAAACGCAGGAAATGCCATTTCAGAAGGTTCATTTTTCAAAATTTTCCAAGGGAGCATACCCCCGGACCCCTAGGAACCTCGCACCTACAGCGCTCGCTGGCCCCCTCAAGCAGTGGGAAGAACCCCCCCATTCAAAATCCTAACTACAGGCATGAAATCAGAAGGCTGACAGCAAAAAGTGATGATGATAGTACCATACCTGATAGCAGAACTGGAGAGCAGAGTACAGCTCTGGGCAGCCGATGTTGTACTCATTTCTGGGTCGTACTTTGGCAGCACAGGCTCTTGCTACATACTCAAATAGGTACACCAGGCCGAGCTGGAAAGCAGGAAAGTAGAAACATTGAATATGAACTTTACCTTTAGCCTCATACCAGCAAACACATCCAAACTACCTCTGCTTACAATATCATGCAAGTTATAAAAGGCACCCTATCTGGAAGCCTGGATGATAATGACTTCATGACAATGTATGAGATGTATAAGGCCACGGCAAGTAAATCTTATGGATGACATCCTCCACAGACTCCAAATCTAATGCGAGCAGGTGAAAAAAACAAGGCGGGCCGAAAAAAAAAGGTTCCTACATTTTTCAATTTTTGAGTGACTCAATCAATGTGCAAATAGTTTTGTTTCAGTTGGAACATCACGTATGTAGCCACCATCATATATCACAGCATCAAAGTAAAAAAAATAATTTGAAAACATTAAATCAGAGCCTTTTCTTTTCTCCTCTCTTCAAAGTTATGTACCATCCACATTCCGGCATGGCAACATCCATCTTTGCCCATTTTGGGCATGTTGACCACTGTCAGAGGAAAACAATTTTTTTTTCCAAAATCAGGCGAAAATTAATGCGTGCTGATGTCATCCATAAAAATTACTACTTGCTGTGGCCCAATACAAAGCTAGTGCTTGGTATCGTGTGGCGTAATGGTAGGGTATTTCTTCCTGGGTTCAAATCTATGCACATACACAATGTTGTGCCTTACTTCACTCAGGTGAAAATTAGTACTCAGGTGAAAATGAGTACTCAGGTGAAAATTTGGGGTAAGTCCCAATTTACTTTGTGTTGGTCACGTAAAGTTTAACTGTTATGATAATGAAAATGAGTACTATCTAGCTTTGGTTAGGGATGTCCCTTGGATAGGACGTTAAATGGAGGTCCCATATTTGGGGAGAGCCACATCCAGTGCTCCTAAAAGACCCAGCAGACCTTTTGAAAAAGAGTAGAGGCATGCCCTGTTCTGCAATGGTCCAAATTCTAGTATCTGAAGTTGGTGATTCACTACAAATCACGCAGACAGAAGCCCTGCAAACCCTCGTCTTGTATAAGCCAAAAGGTTCACCCTTAATAATAGCCACATGCTAGTTGGGCACCCTTCACTGTACATTCAGCAAAAACAAACAAGAAATGCTAGTGATGGCACGTACATTGACAGCTAACCACAGCACCAGTTTCAGGCAGCGCCATACCCTGCCCATGTAGGTTTCTCCCAGGATTTCTTGTCCTGTGTTTATAGCTGTGGAGTGGAAAACAGTAGATGTCTAGATCTTATGGCCAGGTTTTTCTTACAAATCATGCATTCCTAAGAGCTGAGCTTAATTTAGTCAAATGTACAGCCCAAAGAAATATACCATAAGCCAAGGGTGATAAGTCATTTTCTTGGCAGTTTAAGACTTGACAATGTTGGCTTCCTGACATCAAGAAAATGTAGAGGAACCTGCAGTTTGAGGATTGAAAGATAGATGTCACTCTTGCAAGTCTATGGTGCAATATTCTGGGAGGTACACTTGATGACTTACAGTTGTCCAGAAGGGCTTTCCTCTCCTCTGCATCTTCTGTAGGCTGTGATTCTGCTGGTTCTCTTGCCTGACTTGGTCTCTGGATGATCTTAGCATAGGAGACCCAGTAGATCAAGACAACAGGTGTGGTCAGAAGAAAAGCCATCCTGTGAAGATGGAGTTGGAAGTTTAGAATGTTGAAAAGAATTATGTAAGTAGGCCATATTGACTTTCTACAAGAAGCAAAAGAGGTACTCACTTGTTCAAGTACTTCAAGTGATCTGCTTTGCCACCACCACTGCCAACTGAGCAACCTGTGAACAGTACAATCATTTCAGTACCAGGAACAGACACGATTCTCAAAGCATTTCAGTAACAGGGGAAGGCACGTGTTACGGATAACATTTCAGGGGCAGACCCATATCTTACTGACAATATTTCAGTACCAAGGACAGACACGTCTTACTGACGGCATTTTACTACCAGGGACAAGCAAATGTCTTACTGATGGTATCTCAATACCAGGGACAGTCACATTTTAGTAAAAGTATTTCAGGGACAGTCACATGTGTTACTGATAGCATTTCAGTACCAGGGACAGTCACATTTTAGTAAAGCATTTCAGGGACAGTCACATGTGTTCTGATGGCATTTCAGTACCAGGGATAGTCACATTTTAGAGAAAGCATTTCAGGGACAAGCACATGTCTTACTGATGGCATTTCAGTACCAGGGACAGTCACATTTTAGTAAAAGCATTTCAGGGACAGTCACATGTGTTCTGATGGCATTTCAGAACCAGGGACAGTCACATTTTAGTAAAAACATTTCAGGGACAGTCATGTGTTCTGATGGCATTTCAGAACCAGGGACAGTCACATTTTAGTAAAAACATTTCAGGGACAGTCATGTGTTCTGATGGCATTTCAGTGCCAGGGACAGTCACATTCTAGTGAAAGCATTTCAGGGACAGTCACGTGTGTTCTGATGGCCTTTCAGTACCAGCGACAGTCACATTTCAGTGAAAGCATTTCAGGGACAGTCACATGTCTTACTGATAGCATTTCAGTACCAGGGACAGCCACATTTAAGGTGAAATCATTTCAGGGACAGCTGCATGTGTTATTGATGATATTTCGGCACCAGGGATAGATACGTGTCTTACTGACAGCATTTAAGTACCGGGGACAGATGCATGTCTTACTGATAGCCTTTCACTACCAAGGAAAGGAAAATGTCTTCCTGATAGCTAGTCAGTACTAGAGACAGGTATATGTCTTACTGATAGCCTTTCAGTACCAAGGACAGGCAAGTGTCTCACTTATAGCATTGCAGTACCAAGGACAGGCACGTCTTACTTATAGCATTGCAGTACCAAGGACAGGCACGTCTTACTTATAGCATTGCAGTACCAAGGACAGGCACGTCTTACTTATAGCATTGCAGTACCAAGGACAGGCACGTCTTACTTATAGCATTGCAGTACCAAGGACAGGCATGTCTTACTTATAGCATTGCAGTACCAAGGACAGGCACGTCTCACTTATAGCATTGCAGTACCAAGGACAGGCACGTCTCACTTATAGCATTGCAGTACCAAGGACAGGCACGTCTCACTTATAGTATTGCAGTACCAAAGACAGGCACATGACTTACTGATAGCATTTCAGTACCAGGGACAGGCACACTACACACCCGATCTGCAAAGAAATTAACTCACTAATGTTATATGTAGTTACAAGAAGCACAACTTGTTCAGTGATATCAATACTATAGTATAAAAAGTAGCAGCCATACCAAATATAATGTAGAGTCCAGCACCCAGTAACCCAGCCATGCCTGTTCCACTGGACCAACCATTGACCAGCTTACTGGGAAACAGGGACAGGTAACCGAGGGTCACACTGAAAAACAAAGGCTTGCATTTCATTCTTAGTCACTCTACGTGTAGCTGTTTTTCTTCCTTGGAGAGCTGTATGTGCTGGTGTTAATGATGTACCTTATAGAAACCTGAGATAACCTGTTCCACAACTTAGTTTTTACCTATCTACACTTACAATATCAGTTCTGAAGTATGTAACTGATGACAACCTCAACAACTTACTTTTCTCCAAATGCAGCACTACTCCCAGCAACTACCTGTAGGTATTAAAACAAAAAAAAGGAAGATGTTAAAAGTTCAAACTTTTGGTCCAACACAATAAGTTCTCTCACCTAGAGCTTTCAACCAGTCACTCTGGTCTTCCTCAGTACACTGACCCAGTGAGGCTTGTCACATGGCTTCTTTTAAGTGTGACGTCTACTGAGGAAGACCAGAGTGACTGGTCGAAAGCTCTAGGTGAGAGAACTTTTTGTGTTGGACCAAAAGTTTTAATTTTAAAGATGTAACTACCAACACAGATGAGCTTTCATAATAGAAAATGGAAGAGTCAAGACAAACCAAGAAAGATCATGCTAGAGTGTGGGCCCTACACTAGATTGTTTCTATCCTTGTACATTACTTTAGATGTTCCTTTACTTTAGGAACAAACTTGCAAAATTGTAGCACAACAAATTCATCTGCATTGGATACACCACATGGGACATGGTGTCTCAAAGGTACATGTTGCAATCTACACAAGCCATAATTGATTATCTACACTTGGTAAAACTTACAATGCATGCCAGAGCAAATGGAAAGTTGAAAGCATATGCCACCCCAAACAAACCTAGAAAGTAAGAAGTACATGTGGTATTAGGCATTCTTATTGTCAAAATTTTTTATACTGGTACAGTTATGTAAAAGAAGATAACATTTTTACATACATAGTAAATCTCTCATGTTGTCTGCTTTGGGCTGTTGCATTTTAAAGTATTTTCAAATATTAGTTTTTATGAAAGTTTCTTGGTCTCTGCATTGTTCTTGGTTCCAAAATTGTGAAAAATGTTCCTCCCTGCCACCTTCTTTACTACTGATACAGCTCTAATAGGGATATCCTGATTAACCGTTTTCCTGACAGCTGTTCTCAGCAAACAAACAAACAAACAAACAAACCTTACTTACCCAGTAGCATTAGAACTCCATTAGCAAATATTCTGATCCAATATGGGGTCTTCAGAAGGACAAATGCATTAAGCACTGAAAAATGTAGTAACAAAACAATTATATTGAAAGAAGAGTTGGCCAAAAGATGAGATTCTACCATGGCATAGCATATTTTTTTTTATATTCAAACATTTTTAATGGGTATAGCAGATAGAAGAAAAGGTGGTAAGCTGAACTAAACTATAACGTTAAGTAGGAACAATTAGTAACAATATCTTTACAAAACCAAAATTGTTTAGAAACTAAGAACAAAATGCAACATACTTCTGACAAATGCAGCTAGAGACACGTTTGCCCCAAACACCAGCCCCACAAAATTCTGCACTCCAAAACTGGAATGGTTCACAAAACCTCTTACAATAACGACAAACAAAGCTGTGGAGTAAAGCTTATGGGAATGGAAGCAGAAGAAATCAGATTCTACTTAAAGAAGATATTGACAAATCATTATTTCTTTATGTCATTTGAAATATGACATTGGTCAACATCCCTGGCATTCAAATGTACCGTGGCCGACAAGTACAAAATTTTACACCGCAACTTTTGGTGTTTTACACCGCAACTTTTGGTGTTTTACACTGCAACTTTGGGTGTTTTACACTGCAACTTTTTCTGTGTTTTACACTGCAACTTTTGCTGTGTTTTACACTGCAACTTTTGCTGTGTTTTACACTGCAACTTTTGGTGTTTTACACTGCAACTTTTGGTGTTTTACACTGCAACTTTTGCTGTGTTTTACACTGCAACTTTTGCTGTGTGGAAAACTTACACCCCTCCCCTTTTATAATGGACGGTCCCCCTGTCAGGTCAAAGGTGACAACGATGGCATGCAAACTACGTCGACTGAGTTATCCTTTTCGTGCATAAGTTTTTTAGAGGAAAAGCTTGGCTACGTTGTGACGTTAGTTTTTTTCTAAAGGCCTTTGAGTCACGTGACATTTTCTAGCTAGAGAATTCGGACTCGCAAGGTCGCTAATAATTTGATGAGTAAATATTGGGCCTATGGGAGTCAAATGTGGCACCACTTGGTACTATGAAGCAATAAAGACTTATTTTCAATTATGAAGTGTTGACTCTTGACTCAGGTAAGTTATCGATCATTAGGGAACAATACGAGCGATCGCCATGACGTCACCGTAGGCAAAAAGTGGGTGCCAGTTGGCTGATTTGCCTACCAAGAATTTGCATATGTCTTCAAATAATTTGCATGCGTATAATGTAAACAAAAACAGCGATCGCTCGTATACAAATGTAGAATAATATTGTATACAATATTTATAGTTAATAAGACATCTAATCAATGTTAATTAGTCAATCACTAATTTATAAACTGTCATCATGGAGGCAATACAGTGTTGTGTAAGTATAGTAAAGTTAGAACACAAAGAAGAACAGACAGAATTATAAATCATCAATTTATTCACAGCTTGATCAATTTCTTAAGATCCCATTCTGTTGATGTCTCACACTCAGTCACAGCACGACACTGTGACTCTCAGGCCGCCGCCATCTTTGTCACCTTTGACCTGACAGGGGGACCGTCCATTATAAAAGGGGAGGGGTGTAAGTTTTCCACACAGCAAAAGTTGCAGTGTAAAACACAGCAAAAGTTGCAGTGTAAAACACCAAAAGTTAGCAGTGTAAAACACAGGAAAAGTTGCAGTGTAAAACACAGCAAAAGTTGCAGTGTAAAACACCCAAAGTTGCAGTGTAAAACACCCAAAGTTGCAGTGTAAAACACCAACAGTTGCGGTGTAAAACACCAAAAGTTGCGGTGTAAAATTTTGTTCTTGTCGGCCACGGTACAAATGAGATTACTAAAACCACTCCGGGTCTTTGTCTAAAGCATGTGTTTGCTATACATGACTTACCTCTGAGCTATCGTCTTCGATGCTGAGTTGATGATGACATAGGGTAAGTTGTTGATAGCTCCCAACAGGAAAAACCCGACCTAGTAAACAAATTCTGATGTAGCGTAACGTTTAGTCTTTCCTGGGTGCATAATAATCACCAGCTTTATAATTCGGCGAGTAGTTGAATGGGTACAAGTACCATGTATCGTTATGTGTAGGTTTTACCCTATGAAAAAATAGCAACACATACAAATTATTTATGACAAGTGCTAAGAATCAAATAAATTACGAAGCTACATTGAACACAAGGGTATATCTTACCCAGTTCCTGACGTTCGACATTGTTCTGGTCACACCAGTCTACGTCAGTAGAAACTTGGTAACCTGAAGCGAATTGTAAAAAAAAAGGCGTCTCAAAAAGATGATCTGAGTTGAAGTCACTATTGCATTGATACACAACATGTTTCTGTTCATGTTGTCGGACAGGTCTGCAGTGAAAAGTTAGACTTTGGACCCGTCCGACTTTTCGGCGATACGCCACAGGTTCCGTTTACTAGTACAGCGAATCAGCCTCTACCGATCTTCCACGTTCTCGCCATTGGAACAGACATGTACCTTTACTTTCATGCGCAAACCTTCCCTGGTGATTCAGACCCAAACGTCAAAGGGTCGCCAAAAAATAAATTTGCACTGGAGCAGAATCCCCATGACGGTCTTATGACTGATGTACGAAGGCCCACAACGACACTTCCATACACCTCTTCCACAGCCCTTCCACAGCGCGCTGCCAAGGGGTATACCTGCCATACACCTCTATATCCCTTGGCAGCGCGCTGTGGAAGGGCCGCGGAAGAGCGCTGTTGAAGGGCTGTGGAAGAGCGCTATGGAAGGTATAGCCCTTATATAATTGGCAGCGCGCTGTGGAAGGGCCGCTGAAGAGCGGTATGGAAGGTATATCCCTTGGCAGCGTGCTGTAGAAGCGATGTGGAAGGGCTGTGGAAGAGGTGTATGGAAGTGTCGTTGTGGGCCTTCGTAGTGCTGACTTCCGGGCGCAAGGTGTCTGGTCGGCTGAAAGTATGTAGTACTACTCTCCAAGCAGAGGTTTGGGTTTTTGGGGGTATTTTTAGCGTGTTTTTAGGCTTTTTTATCGGGGTTTCTCTTTTGCACTGAATTTTTTTCCCACCAAACCCAAGTTTTCGACTGCCGTCAGAGGTTGGGTTTGGTGGAAAAAAATTCAGTGCAAAAGAGAA